TATATATATATATTTAAAAATGAATGCAGGCCTTAACTTTCAGATCATGCAATTACTTAACAGTGAAGAATCTGAACTTGAAAAATAGCCCACAGATTCACATCAAATTCGATACCTGCAGAAATGTTACTGCGGCAAGCATCAACATTGAAGCGCCGGAGACGAGTCCAAACACAGATGGAATTCAAGTCGCAGAAACCAAATATATACAGATAAATCATTGCAATATAGGAACTGGTAATTAATACAATTATGCATGCATTTAATTGTTTTTTTTTAATTTTAAGTAAGTTTCGTTAATTGATAGATTATCACGAGAGAATATTACGTACGGAGTCCGCATGTATGCTGATTCCATGTAGAACAGTGTTGTACACAGGTTTATACTTGTACAACAGTGTTGTACATGGATTCTACATGCACACTGTGCATGTAATAATTTTTAGTGCAATCTAATTTTGAATTATTTTTAAGGAATTATTTAAGAAAAAAAGTATTTTTTTAATTGCTACCCCGCATTTTCTTATATCACCTCTCTTTTCAAGAAATTAAATTCCTTTCATAGTAATAGAAATATTATTATTTGTTGAAAATTATAAGGTGCATTTACATACATACCACATATTTCTTATGTATTTACATATCCAACACCTAAACTCTCGTATTTACATGCAAACAGTCAGAGTTTCGATCATCACATAAAAAATACCACAATCACTATATTTTTAAAAGTGAAATATATCTTTACATGCATAAATTTATCAAAGCCAAGGTATTAAAAATGTAAATATATATATCAAACTTTGGGTGCATATAAGATATGTAAACACATAAAAGTTTTGTGGTATTAATGTAAATTTTACTAAATGTAAATGTGATGATTATGATATCCTTTAGCTAAAATACAAACTTGCACATATATTCATTCAAACACAATGTATATATATATATTTATAATCGCCGGGGTATACTGCAGGTGATGATTGCATTGCCATTGTAAATGGATCTCAAAGTGTCAGAGTCACCAGCACTGTTTGCGGTCCTGGCCATGGTATCAGGTGTTGATTTACTTAATCAATAAATAAAACATAGAATAATATATTCAGAACATTAATTAAACTGCTGGTTATTACATATTTTCTTATTTGATGAGTCATTTTATTTTTCTACCAGTATTGGGAGCTTAGGAGCTAATAATTCCGAAGCTTATGTATCAGATGTTACGGTAGACAATGCACAACTTCGCGGCACTACTAATGGAGTCCGGATTAAGACATGGCAGGTGATTAATCATAATTAATCACTGCCTACTTAATTTTTAATCTCATTTATCTCTTAATTTCTTTCTTTTAATATAATCAATGTTTGTATGGTTACATTTTGGCACGTACTCATAAACATGTGGGTGATTGGATACTTACTCAAATGAGCCCCCAATTAATCTGCTTTTGCAGGGTGGGAAGGGCAATGCAGAGAACATTATATTCCAGAATATTAACATAGATGACGTCCAGAATCCAATAATCATAGATCAGAATTACTGCGACGAAACGACGCCATGCAAGCAGCAGGTAATCACCCATATGTATGTATATAATTTCACAAGATATATCTGTTCTGAAAAATTCTAAATACTTAGAAAAGAAATTTGCAATTTGCAGGGCTCTGCAGTGCAAATAAGCCATGTGCACTATAAGAACATTAAGGGAACATCTGGTTCCACGTATGCAACAAATTTCAACTGCAGCAACAGTTTTCCATGCAACGACATCGTTTTAGAAGACATCAATATAACGGCTGCTGATGATGTTCCTGCTGTTAAAAGCTTCTGCAACAATGTCCGCTGGAGTAAGATAGGAACAGTGCTTCCAACTCCATGCAAGCTGAATCATATACATGAATTTGGGCTTCCATACTTTGGCCATCAAGACCCCGTTGATGATTATTAAGGCTGATGTATTTATGCCATTTTAATTTAATATAGAATTTGAGAAGTCATTTGTAATATAAGAAGTCTGTAATGATGTATATTTTGACAAAAATGTCATAAAAAGATTGTAATTTTTAAAGTTTATGGAGATTTTATGACCTTTATTGCAATTTTTTTTGATTTGTGAGATGTTTAAATTATAATTTATCTTTCGAGATTTATGATAGACAAGTAAAAAATCACCCAATAAATTTTCTTTTGCGCCTTTATTGGTGATGGTTCATCTCTCCATCTCTAGTTATGTCTTAATATTTCTTTTTATTTGTGATATGTTTGTCCCTAATTTTATACTTTTATCATCCATCATTTTCATATTGGATTGTACTTCCTTCAAACTGACAATTGTTATTGTATTTTTTTTCAAAGAGAAAATTTATAGCTCTCATCATTGCTTTAAACTAAAATTTGGTTTTTAAATTTCTAAAATTAAATTTACAGCTAAATTTACGAACAACTTGATTAGCAGTGTCAAATGGGCCTAAAATGGAACTTTTTCACATCATTGCTTTTCAAAAAGGTGCCAGTGTACATTTTTGGTTACTTTTTAATAATTTTTATAATGAAAATACTATTTATAACCAAATATATTTGAATATGATAAATATAAAAATTAGTTTTGTAATTTTAAAAATATAATTCACATAGTACTTGTAAAAATGTGTTAGGTGGTATGTGTGAAAATGCCCCAAACATTTTCATATCGTGGCTCACTCAAGCTAAAATACAATGTTTAGCTAAGAATTTAAATTGGGTTTGGAACACTTTTTTAACAACTATAAAACCTTTTGATTTTGTTCTGAATAAGTTTGCAAAGAGTCTGAAAAGGCCAGAATTTTGTTCAACTATAGTTTCAACTGTAATTGGACAAGATACATATCTTGCTTTGCTTCTTTTTTATGCAAAAAAAAAAAAATCTTTGGATGGATGGAGCATCAATATTCTTATGCCATATGGTGAGGAATTAAAAAATGACAATAAAAACGGTTGGATTTGTAGGGCGAAATAGAGTAAAAAAGTTGATGGTTCCCAGAATTATTATCTTGGAAAGATTCGAGAATATTTACACATAATAATGCTGATGGTGTTGAATCATTTTAGGACTTAGGGTTGTGTATCATCCGTGGGCTCACACATCTTTGAAGGAACATTTGTAAGAAGGGTGCACAATGAAAGAGTGGACGAGCTCTCCAAGCCTCAACTTTTAGTTCTCGTAATGAGTGAGGGAGGAGGATGAAAGAAATGATTATGATCGGAGAGATAATAGAGGGATTCCTCCTCAAGTAGGATGATGCATCTATTTGTATATTAAACTTCGATGTTTTTTTACCAATGTCAGATTACATAGAAATATAAAATAATATTAAATTATAGGTCGTACATTACGAAGCTTGTCCATGACATTTAGAGGTGTCAAATGGGGTTCATATGTAAGGTTTTGATTTGACCCGAAATCAACTTGACCCAAAACTGCTTCACCCAAACCTGAGCCGCCTTTAACCCATCGCTAACCTAAATGTCACCCGTGTAACCCATTTAATGTAAGACATAACAACTATTTAGGTTATAATCTGGTCAAATTCAAGTAGATTTTGAGTCAGTCTCGAGTCAATTTTGAATTGACAGATCAATTTCAATTCAATTAATGTTAGCTGGTCATTTTTTGTCAAATTAGGGCTGGCTAGTTAACCCGAACTCTAATTTTTTGAATTGTGCTCGAGTCAAGTTGACTTGTCGGGCAATTTTTTGAGACCCCTAATGACATCTCAATGATAAGGTGATGATGTGGGTTTGCAACATCTTATAAATGATTGTGGACGTATGTCAGCCTTTTGACATTGATTCGCTGAAAAGGACTTTGGTTTTGTTATGCTCATGGTTCAAACCAAAAGCCAGGTGAGGAGCAATGTCACCATTACTGAGTTATAATTTCCTTCACCTGGGGGCCATAGCTCTATTGTAGGGAGTAACATTTTAGACCTATAGTATCCTTAAACTATCATTCCCTTGGGGGCAGCATGTGCCCTCATGGGGTAGTCTCTCGAACCTTTGAGTAGGAGTTGGATTGTTCCTCTTATGGTATAATTTTTTGATGAGGTGGGCCATGATGAGGTGTTACTAATAAAAATATTTTTGATGTAAAATAAAAGAAATTTTAGAGCTTCTATGTATCGATAACATTACCAAGGTTGTATGTCCATTGCGACCCCTTTTATGTTACAAAATACTCATCATGTGATTTCAAATAAGTTCTAAATATGAACTTTAGATGTTTATACATATGTTGTTATGTGTCAAAAAAGAACGCAATCATGAGTTTTACAGGGCAATGACACTAAGAGTTAAATGTTCATTTCAAGCATTAGCTTCCTATTTGGCTAATAAGTGCATCGCATGGATGTTGTAAAAATCTTTCACATAAATCATCAATTTTCAAAAAATGTTTTTCTTCTTTTGACATTGGCCCAGGATTGCTCTATCCTTTGACTTATTCTGATAAATAAAATTACTATCGGGAAGATAAATGTTTCTAAGGAGAGGTTTATGGTGGCCTTGCAACTAGGGCTGTCAATTTGGCTCGTTGTTCGTGAACAACTCGTGTTCGGCTCGTTGAGCAGCTCGTATTCGGCTCGTTCGTTAAGCCTAACGAGCGGAACACGAACAAACTTATAAGCTCGAACTGTAAACGAGCCGAACACGAACAACAGTTTGTTCGTTCGTGTTCGGCTCGAAATGACTCGAGGAAAAAAAATTATATAACTTTTTATATAACAATATATTACATATATTATTTATATACTAATATATTATATATATTTATGTCTAAGTTTAAATCATAACACCTCATGTGACAATGTGGTTAGTGTCTTTTTTTGTATAGATTTGATCCATGTTCGAATCCCACACTTTACATCTATTTTTCTCAATTTTAGTTTAACAAGCCAATTTCGAGCTGAACACGAACACGAATATTTAAATCGAGCCGAACACGAACACACTGTTCACGAGCCGATTTCGAACACGAGCCAAGCCTGACCTCGCTCAAGCTCGGCTCGTTTACAGCCCTACTTGCAACATAAAAGAAGTATAGAAAATCATTCCAAGAAGGAGGAAGTTCTGTTTTGCTTGTAACAAGAGCGCTTGGAACATCGCAACATTGCAACAAAAATTTGTCGGGGAGATATCGAGCCTCATTGCGTTGACGCCCAAGGAGATGTTGAGCTTTAAGGCTTTGCAAGATGTAGAATTGAACATCATTCAGTACACTTCATCGGAGTTCCTCAAGGAAATGTTGATTGGTAAGTTTGCTATTTACCTTGACATGTTATTGGTTCAAGTTTTATGACACTTTGGGCTCATCAGCGACTTTAAGTTAAGTTGCCACCTTAAATTGGCAGTACCTAGCACTAGACTTATTAGACGAATTTTGTCGCTATCATGGTGGGGTGCTCATTTATACTTGCCACAGGGGCGGCTCTCTCTCTCGCTCTACTCATTAATTTCTTGGAACAAAGTTGGGGGTTAGTCCAACTAAGCTTAACTTGTGGTTTAGGGAGATGATTTAGCATGCAAACATTCAATATCTACTTGAATGTTAAGGATTAGAGAATTAAGATGCAGGAAAATTAAAATAATTGTTGCAAGTTCGAATATGATTCTAAGTGTTTGGAATGACTATAAGAATTTGAGTAGCCAATTTGCCATATAAGATCATACCATTTAATAGGTTTAATGATACATAAGTTGTACCCTCATAATATATTTAATGAATTCATTTTTTGGAAAAAAATGAATTTTCATTAAAATTATACTGAGATTAATGCTTAAGATGAAAAAATAAAATCTCTCAAATTTCGCTGATCATAATATTCTCTCTGTTATTGATTGTGAAAAGTTTTTTATAGAGTAGTTTTTTCAAGAAATCGAGTACCATTAATTTTAAGGAACTTATAAATGAACATAAGTCTGTCATAAATATGCTCGTGAGAGTTAGTGCATCGATTGCTTTTTCTATGGTTTCACTTAGAGATTGGGCTCATCGTAAGGTAATATTTTCATTTCTAGTGGTAATATACTATTCCTTAAGATTGTATTCAATCTCAAGTGGGGGGGATTTCAAAACTTCTATTCGTGGTCCCCTAGAGTGTAGAAACCTATCCACAAAATGTATCCATAATTTCTCTTTATGAGTATTAGCTTCATCCATTTGTTGGTATGTAAAATTTGTCAAAAAGTTGGTGACCATCTAAGCTTGTTCTTGGTACAAAAGAGAGATCAAATATTCTTAGTTCCACTTGTCACTTATGAAGTTTCCTAACACCAACTTCAATGGATGGTCAGTTACAATGTGAAACATATGAGCTTGAAGTAACGATGTAACATTCATATAAGCTGATTGAAGCTAGTGTAAGCCTCTCAATTATCATATATCTTAGTTCAACTCCATCTAAGACTATACTTACATAATATGTAGGGATTTTTTTTTTGTTCTCATCATGAGCTAAGACCAAAATTATTGCCTCTTTCCATAATCCGAGTTAGAAGAATAAATCTTTTATGTCATGAACAAGACAACATTAATAACAAATGCTTATGACAGATCCTCTTCATCAAATAGTGGCCTGCAATTATTATCGATGACAAAATAATTCAAATTAATAAAGTCATCACAGCCAATATTTCCAATATTCGAGAATCAAAATCTCAAGAGGTCTCCCTAAAAGAAATTCATGACAAGAACAAGATAATATATCCTCGTGAATCATCAGAGCAAATCAAACAAATTATATTGGAGCTCTATCAGAAATAGATAAAAGAATTTTTCGAATCAGAAGAATACATTTCATCTCTAATCAAGGATCAGACAACGAAGAAAAGTGAGAGTGAATGACAACATACCTCAGTTCAAATTAGCAGAATCAAGATAAAGACTACTTAAAGTGGACCCCACTTAGGTCACTTCGGAGAAATATTATGGGCAATAATTTTGGTGGTTGAAATAACATCGATTGTTGGAATAATAGTAGCAAGAACATTCCTCGGTGTAATAGTGCATGTAATTATTTTTAACTCTATATATCACATCAAATATGTGTTATCTGTTATTAAGTTTGGAGTCTACTCTCATATATAAATAAGGGTTTTGTGCTCTCTCATGAAGGGACTTCTTTTGTAAATTAAGGAATGTGCTTCTAAAGTTCCACCCAAACTTGGCGTGCAAGTTATGAACAATGGAGAATATATATACATGCACATAAATCCTTACAAAATTTTCTTTTTTTTTTCAAATAAAAATTCCTGAGGGCATGTTCATTTAAACACCCAAGAATTTCCTGTAACGCGCTTTCTCTTTCTTGCAGTAGTTGTGGTGCGAGACTGCGAGTAGGCCGTCCCTTGCTCTCGTCGGCGTTACTGAAAGCTCTCACCTTCTCTTTCATTGAAACTCGATCCTCGTGGCCGGCGCCTTTGATCTCCGATGGGCACGCCGGCGTTCCCCAATCTCGGAAAGCATTGCAGTGTCGAAGACTGCAAGCTCATTGACTTCCTGCCCTTCACCTGCGACCGTTGCGATAAAGTATGTTGCTTCCCTTCGTCAATTATTATTTCTTAGGGCTAGGTTTTTCCTCCTTCTTCTTGCCATTAGATTTAATTTTCCCGCGTTCCTCCTTATGGATTTCTTTTATCTGTTCCATTTTCTGAGATTTATAATAAAAATTTTGATTTGAAAGATGATTGATTGGGAGATGGACACCAGAAGTTAATGAAGTTTGGGTATGTCTGAAATTATCGAATGTTCAGAAAGGCACCTTCCCGAGTTGCTGGAAGCGTGATTTACAAGAAAGATATTTATATTTCTTGTTAAAAACATTGTTATCTTTATGTATCAGCAGTTTTGGTTCTTTGATTTATCTATTTCTCATCATCATGAGAAAACCTCTGGTACTGCTTTGGGAAGTTTGATTCTATTGAATTGTGTGTCTTCATGTTGTTATTTGGTAGATCTACTGTTAATTTAGGTTTTTTGCTCTTTTTAAGTTTTTAAAGGGAGTAAAATACAAATCATAGAGAGCTGCGAGGTCACCTTAACATCATTTGAATTTACCTGGCTCTTGCAGAAAGTATTTTTGATAAATTTGCTTAAATAATCTTTGATAGCTCAAGCTTTCTGGTTTCAAGCTTAGATTGACTGTGGTAAACATAAAGATGAATTTCCTTGCCACGCAATCAAAGTGGATTCTGCACATGTTCATATGCCAAAGTAATATTTTTGCAGGATTGGGTACACAAATGTAAAATTAGATTGTTGCTTGAAACTATGGCCCTAAGGATAGTTTGCAGAACTTCTGATAATTTGCACATGAGTGCATATAACCACCCTTTGGCATGGTCTCTTAGCTGGTTCAGTTTCAAATATGCTTAATTAAACTTGAGAACTTGTTTCAGGATAAAGTCCATCATCACCTTAATGCAAGATATGAACTTCTATTTGAGTTAAACCATAAAAGAAACTTTTTTTTTTTTTGGCGTGTCATTTTAGTTCATGATCATTGCCAAGGAGGGAGCTTGACCTTTTGATGTTGATATAATGTGCAAAATGATAACTGCATACTTATGTGTGATTTTTGAGACTATTGATTCTAGCATTGGGCGCCTTAATAGTCACAAATAGGGATTAGGAAGGAAACAAATGTTTCATTAAGCTTTTCATAGCAGTTTGGTTCAAAATGTGCTAAAATGGATAGGGCATCAAACCTAACTAATGATTTGAATAAATTAACCATATTACACAGATGATCATGGACTTATTTTTCATTTTTATTGGATTTATTATTACTGTTTTAGTTTTTATTCCTATTTTAGGGAAATTTAAAGGTTATTTTAAGTATTTAAAATATTTTAAAAATGACTTTCTTATGATGTTTTATCTTGATAATTACTCATAAATTTTCTAAACATTTAGGGATTTTTGACATTTAAAGGTCTTTTGATATGTTATATATGTAAATGCTTTAAAACTTTATATCTTGAATACTAAAAATATAGTGGTATTTATAATTATTTTCAATTTTAAAAAAATAACCTCCCTGGATGTTTTTTGTAATTTGAATTTGCTTGGACCAGTTGATTTGGCTGTGTGAGAGTACCATAGTTTCACACTTAGACCTTTGTTACATATATATTTCAGTTATTAATTTGGTTGATTTAGATGTGGTTGTGTGTTGATGCTGATAACACATGACATGTGTGTGGTATAAGCATGATTAACTTGCTCGACATCCTCGGGTCTTACATGATGGTTTGTTTACCAATAAGATTTTTTGTGGTGTTGATGTGGTTGCGACATGTCATGTGTGGGCCATCTTGCCTTACTTTGAGTTGACTTGCTAAATGTTTATAGGTCTTAAGTATTAATGAGGATCAATGTGAAGTTTATGTGGCGGTGGGACCCATTCCTTCGGGTGACCCAAATAACCTTGTTGGGCTACCAAGTTACTTTGTGGCTAAGAATTGGCCATGTGGCATGATTATTTTCATTTTCTCTTTAACTTAAGCTGATTAATTTAATAATAGTGGGATACACATGCTATCGTGATAGGCTGTAAGTATTTCATATGGCGTAGTGGGACCTTCTCTAGGGAGGATTGATGTGTCTTTGAAATATTCATATCACTTTTTGTCATTCATGTCATGTCTAATTATATGGCCTAGAAAGAGTCTTGCTATCATGTGGAGGCTCAAGAGTGGCCATTGTAGGGGTTCGTGTCCATTACAAACTTCTAGTTGGGTTAGGAGTAGGCCTTGCTTGGGTTGTATCATCTATGATTGCATCTAAAATACTGGAGTGGTGTCGAGGCCAACTAATGTATTGGGAGTAATTACCAAGATTTGGGGAGCATTATGGGAATTCTTCTTTGAACGATAATTGTCTACAGAGAGATAGATAGAGAAGGTGTAGTTTAGGATAATAATGGGGCGATATATGATGAAATCATAATAAAATAATGCTTATTGGCTTCCTTGGATTTCAATTAGTGTTTGGGATTGGTGGGCATCATACAATATGGATGGTGCACGGGAGGATTTCTCTAGGGACAATTAACATTTGTGTAGGACTTGCCATAGGTATGGCGGCACAACGAGTAATTATGGATTACAACTGAGCTTGCTTGGGCATTCAATGATGATCAAGGATACTGCCATAATGATTGCTAATGAACTTTTTTCTTCCAACCAATAATAGAGATGGGGTGAATATTTCTGGACCCAATATTAGAACTTAGTCTTGATGTTTAAAACAATAGTCATTTTATTAACCAAGACCATAAAAGTAGCCTTGATTACTAAATGATGTGCGTAGGAGATGATTGATTCTCTTTTATTTTAGGGCTGGAGATAGGTCTCTTTAAGAGGAAAGCTTAACAAGGTTTAATTATTGAATTTGAATGGCCAAGACATAAGCAAGGGATATGATATATCAAACAAAAAGATGTGCAGTAAGGAGAGACTTAATTGAATGTAGTAATCAAATTAAGGGAGAAAGCTTTATCTGAACTTTTGATGGTTCTTTATGGAGGCTCTTTGATCTTCTTGCTTAGTTATTCTTTCTTGATCATCCTTTATGGCTCCTTGTTTCCTTCTTGTCCCAGCCTTAAATTGTTTTTCTTGCTCCTTGAATGTCTCCCAAGCACCCTTCTCTTTTATGACTTCTCAAGTAGATAGAAACTCAATAGATGTGTGATAGAGAGGGTGTGAGGTTGGGTGGAGGTTAGGGTGGAGAGAGTGGTTTCTAAAATTCCTTATGAGTAAGCCATAAATGAGGGGGAAAGAGACCGTGGAGGCCATCTTGAAATGAATTGAAGTCATGAATGAAAAATCTAGTACATGTTAGTTATTTAAAGAAAATAAAATGCATGAGATTTTATCTTTAAAATAGGAGATTAGAGGAAACTCTGTTTTGTGCTTATGATAATTTATCAAACATGCAAAATTTTTTATCTCGCTAAGATTTTCTTATTTGGATGGAGCACTTTGAATGCATTTTCTCTTCTTTTTGAGTGGCCCCTCTTACTTTAAGGGAGAGAAATTGAGGATTTTAAATGAGCTTCTATTATTTCTCTTTGATTTAATTTTAGCTTATCATTTTGCCTCCATGTAGACTTGTGCGTGATCCGTACATTGGTGCAACAAGCCATACACAATAAATAAGTAGTGGAAAAACTGAACATATTGTTCTCTCCAAGGAGGGTATATGATAAAATGATTGCGAAAAGACATCAAGTTTCTTTTTTTTTGGGGTACGTAAGCTTCTTATCAAGTCACACAAGACTAACCATTAAAATAAAATAAAAAAAAAACCAGAAAAATGCTATTTAAGTTTAAATTAAAGTTTAACAAATTATAGAATGATAATTGAAAAATAACATAATCAAGAATAACAAGCATCATGAACTAGTTGTGAGCTAGGTGATATTTGAGTTACATCAGACCCCTCCGTTTGAGTATATCTACTTGACTTTAGTTATTTTCATACTGCTGATATCAATTTGTTGATATGCACAGATATCTGTGACATTGGAGGTTGACGATAAATTTTAATCTGACAAGAGTTCAATAATATGTGTATTATCATTGGGACTCTTAGTGATATGAAATTGTCAACTATCTGGGCTTTAATTTAGACTAAATCTCTGTGGGACATATTTTCTTGAGAAGGTGGATCATCATCAATTTAGCGACAACAAAATTCTTATATCTGCAATGCTTGGTGTCTGCCCTTTGTTTATAGACTTGCGTATTTGCTATATGCTTATTTTTCTTGTTCTATTGTATAGCATCAAAATCATCCACTATTTCCATTGCATGCTTGCTATGAGGTCGGCATTGAGGTTTGGAAGTTTGTTATGTATGTGAAACTTTCTTGTAATGCCGATGTCCATTGAATTGAAAGCAAACTGAGCTTCAACCAAAACTTCAATCCATTGTTTTGCATGTTCTTTGGCAAGGCAGTGCAACATGTTGCTTAATGTATGTGATTAACTGCTTTAATTTGTCCTTTTGAGTGAGGATGGTTAGTTGAACTTGTAATATAAACTTGACATCACGATCTGAAGTTGGTATTCATGGTTTTCGATACAAATGAACAATCTCTTAAAATATGAAAAAAATCTTAGCAACATTTATCATATATTTTTTTGCAAGCAATGCACCATTTTGAAAGCTAGTCCACGACAATCATACAAAATCCACTCCTTTTTTGGCTCGAGGAATCAGGGAGGGAAATAGAGATTAAGGTTCTCATATGAAATATGAAATTTTTATGGGGTAGACAATCCAGCATTCCGAGAGGTTCCCTTTTAAGTTTGGCAAATATGACTCTTCTTGATGAAATGACTTTCATTCTCGAAGCTTTGGCCAAGAGAGATGAGCTTGAATTAACAATAAATTATTGTCACGACCAATGTGAGCTGTAAATCCCCCACAATGCATGACCTTGGTCATTTGGGATCGAAGACATTTATTATGAATACAATGTTGGTTCCCTTTGTAATACACTTACTGCTTAATGTGTAATAC